CTTTCCCCTGGCATTTCACCTGCTGCCCCACATTCCCAGCCATGCCCGTATTCCTGCCCACGGGCCCAGTCCCTCTGGCTGCCCCCGCGCTGCGAGCAGAGCTGGCTGGCTCAGCACCTGCCCTTCTGGGCACTCATTGCAGCTGAATGCAGCCCTGCCAAGGCCAGGATCCCTGCCCCCCGGCACCCAGCCAGCCCCCCCTTTTCCCCCAAGATGCACTGCGTAGGGGCTGTCCCTGCACTGCCAGGCCACCCTTCAATGCACCCCGCAGCCACATGGCCCCAGGGAAGGGAGCTGCCTTTGCTGTTGGCTGGGGAGCACCCGGAGATGGCGCGACGGTGGGTGGGTGCCTAGATCCGCAGGGGGGCACATGCCGCATTCCGAAGGACCCCAAGACTGCACACAACCACCCTGCCCCCGCCCCACCACTGACATGCAGCCACCGCTGGCAACTCACCGAGGACAAAACCACCCAACAGCCGGGATCCATTCCAGATGGGCAGGAGATGGCACACCCAGGCTGGCATTTACTCCAAGGGTTACACTGTGGGAGACCCCAGGAAAAGGAGCAGGGTTGGGGGCTGTGCCGCATTTGGTGGGAGTGGGGAGGGACTGAGGATCCGGGCAGCTGGCAGGGAGTTGGGTGGCTGGCGCACCGGTCCCTGAGACAGAGAATTTGGGGCGAGTTGGTTCCCAGGTTCATCTTTGCAGGTCAAAGTCCCCAAAACAGGGAAGAACTGGGCCTGGATTCCTGCCAGCTGGGGATGGCCTCTGGGCACAGCCCCATCCCCTCCCGCAGTGCCAGGCGGCAATGCAATGCAAACCCGGCCCCGGGGGAGCCGCGGACGGCGCCTACCTCTCTCGCGGACGAAGTAGGCCAGGTAGAGGTCGAGCTCCTTGACGGAGACACTGATGTGGTGGGGCTGGACGCACAGGATGGGGTTGGTGCACTGGGCCGCCTTGACCAGCCGCTCCCCGTCCGTGCTCTCCAGCGGGATGCCCTTGAAGAGGATCACCATGACCAGGTCCAAGCGCCACACCTTGTCGGCTTGGCGCAGGCAGTCGATGCGCCGCATCTTGCCCTTCTGGTCGGGGTTGGAGAGGACGCAGCATGAGGGCTTCTTGCCCGTGATGGAGAGCACAAAGTCCTCCCGGAACTCGGGCCGGATGTCCTTGCGTAGCTTGGCCAGCAGCCGGGACGCCCACTTCTGCTTGACCTCGGGCTTCTCGTTCAGCAGCTCGTCCTTCACCGCCCTCTCCTCGTCCTTCGTCATCCTCTTCTCGTGCTTCTTGAAGTACTTGCGCTTGCGGGCCTGCAGGTTGAACCAGGTGTAGGCGAAGGCCCGGACGTGGGGGAGCAGCGCCTCGATGAACGGATGGAACTCATCCTGCAGGAGCAAGCAGACAGGTCGGGCCGTCAGGACAGACGCACAGACAGGCAGGACCACGGGGGGCACCATGCACAGGGGGAGTCTGTAGGGCCCATAGGGAACATAACATAGTATTGAGGGGAGGAGCTGGGCATCAGGACTCCTGGGTTCTCTTCCCAGCTATGGAAAAGGAGGGGAATCTAGCGGTTAGAGCTTGGGGACCGAGAGACAGGACTCCTGGGTTCTCTGACCGAACTGGGAATAGAACCCAGGAGTCCTACTCTGGCTTCCTACTACTCTAAGCACTGGCCTCCACTGGGGACCTGGGACTCAGGGCTGCTGGATACAAGGGGAGTGGTGTCTAGTGGTTAGAGCAGGGCAGGCTGGGAGCCAGGACTCCTGGGTTCTGTTTCCAGCTTTGGGAGGAGAGTCGGGGGGTCTGGACTCCTGAGCTCTCTTCCTAGCATGTGTGCGTCCTAGCAGGGCCACGCTAGTCCCTGGGGGGTGGGTGTGAAGAGGTGTGTGGGGGGGTGGAACTGGTGCCTTGGGGATCCCACCCGGGGAATTTTGCTGCAGCCATTTGATAAAGCGAATTATTGCACGTTCATCATCCTCCCTGTTTAATGGACACAAATGGGCGGCCCCCGGCCGGGCCCGGCCTGGCAGCGAGGGCATTGCCGGGGGGTCGGGGTGTGTCCCCTGGGGCGGTAGGGTCGCCCGCTAGGAGCTCAGACCCTTTGCTGCCCAGCCTGGAGCTCCTGTGCCCCCCTTTGGGCCTGCTCCCGCCATGGGGTGGGGGAGCCCTCTGTCTTCTTTGGAGTCATCCCTGAGCTTACACCAGACTTAGGCCTGGGGGGTTGGGGGTGAGGAGAGTCTGGATCCCCCCCCACACACACACACCATGGCCAGCACAGTGGGAACCTGCGTTGCCAGGCGCTGTGGAGAGCGGGGCTGGACTTGGATCACCAGCGGCCAGCGACCGTAGAGGCTCCAACTGCCTAAACGAACCCCCTCCCCTCCCCTCTCGCCCCGATGGCCCAGCAAGCCAGGCTCAGACTGCCCCACGGCCGTGCCCGGTGTATGCCAGCCTCTGCTGAAACCTGCGCCCGGCGAGGAAGAGCCGGCAGACTGGACTCCTGAGCCCAGGTTGAATCCGATTCTGAGATCGGAGGCACCCAGGCTGGGTCTCTGTGCCCACCTGCAGTGCCTGGGCATGAGTGAGCCCACGTGCTGCCTGCCAGGGAACATGGGCCAGCCCATGCACAGGGCCAAAGGGGTCCAGGCCCAGTGGCCCCTTTCCCAGACCCGACGCTGCCCAGCGGCCGTGTGACCAGCAGGCCCATCCAGGGAACGCCCCAGTCACCCCACTTCTGGCCCAGCCCTCGCTCCAGAGAATGAGTCACGCTCTGACGGTCGTTTTCCACTTGGCTAGTGTTTCCCAGAGAGTCCGTCCAAGAACAAAACCAAGAAAAGCACGTCCCCTCCGTACCCGATTTCCCCATTTCGTGGCTTGGGGGGAAGTGCCGGAAGGTGGTTACTAGGAGCGGGGAAAGGAGCGCTGTAGCAGGACCACCTGCCATTAAAAAACACCCACGCCAGGTTCCCAGCCGCCTTTGCGTGTGTGCGAAGGAAGGAAAAATCCCCCCCGATTTAGAACTGAGATGAAACCCAAGAGGCAGCGGGTTCTTCGTGCCAGACCTCCCTGACATTTTGGGCGCGCTGACTGCTTTGAATATGGCTCCGATTAAGGCTAATGGGGATTGCATCAGGAAAAGCCCCGCGTGCCAAGCCCGCTCTGCTCTGGCAGCACTCCGGCAATGTTTTCCTTGAGTCGCTCTGCAGCGCAGAATCTCCGCTCAGCACGATCGCATGGCAGGAGGCTGCTAACCACAACCGGAGCTGCTCCCTCCCTCCCTCGGGGGTGAGATCCTTCCCTCGCCGGCCTGGCGTAAAGTGGGGGCAGTTCGACGGCGAGCAGCAGCGCTACGGCGGCGTAAGAGAAGGCAAGGATCCGTCCCCGTGGCTTTTAAGAAAACACAAGAACTGTGAGAAGCAGCAGTTTTGCCCAAGAATTTGGAAAGCCGTTGAAAAATTATTTTTCTTTGGACTGTGGTTCTGCTCTGAAAAATGAGTGTTTGAAAAAAACGGCCCTTTCCTCCCATCACCCTCCGCCTCCTGGGGGTGTCCTGGGCCGGGGCTGCTGGCCCAGGTGACTAACGCAGCTTTCCCGGCTTTGGGTTCCAGCACAGCTACCCCAGAAAAGGGAGAAAGGGCCGGAGTCCGCTCCTCCTGGGGCGTCATCCACAGACCCTGTTGCCCACGGCCATGGCCACGAGAAACGGGGGTGTCCCAAGCAGGGGTGCTGGCTAGAAACCATGTATTCAAAATTTGTTATAACTACCTGCCAACAGACCTAGGGAAGTGATTTCCCCCTCTATTCGGCACTGGTGAGGCCACACCTGGAGTATTGTGTCCAGTTTTGGGCCCCCCAAGGGATGTGGACAAATTGGAGAGAGTCCAGTGGAGGGCAACAAAAATGATCAGGGGGTTGGGGCACATGAGGGAACTGGGGTTATTTAGTCTGCAGAAGAGAAGAGCGAGGGGGGATTTGATAGCAGCCTTCAACTAGATTTCATAGAATATCAGGGTTGGAAGGGACCTCAGGAGGTCATCTAGTCCAACCCCCTGCTCAAAGCAGGACTAATCCCCAGACAGATTTTTTTTTACCTCAGTTCCCTAAATGGCCCTCTCAAGGATTGAACTCAAAACCATGGGTTTAGCAGGCTAATGCTCAAACCACTGAGCTATCCCTCTCCTGAAGGGGGTTCCAAAGAGGATGGAGCTCGGCTGTTCTCAGTGGTGGCAGATGACAGAACAAGGAGTAATGGTCTCAAGTTGCAGTGGGGGAGGTCTAGGTTGGATATTAGGAAACACTATTTCACTAGGAGGGTGGTGAAGTACTGGAATGCGTTACCTAGGGAGGTGGTGGAATCTCCATCCTTAGAGGTTTTTAAGGTCAGGCTTGACAAAGCCCTGGCTGGGATGATTTAGTTGGGGTTGGTCCTGCTTTGAGCAGGGGGTTGGATTAGATACCTCCTGAGGTCTCTTCCAACCCTGATAGTCTATTATTCTAAGGGGGGGCAGCAGCCCCCCAGCGCCCCTCATTCCAGCCCCAGTCATTCCAAGCAGAGAATTGGAAGGCTACAGGGAGTCACCCCGGCCTGCAGGAAGGGACCTGCAGGCCCTTCTGACCAGCACTGATTGGTGAAGGGGGAAGCTCAGCTGGGCTCTCAGATCCCCGGCTGACTGTACCGGGGGTGGGCAATGAAAACAATTAAAATTGAACAGGGAGCCAGGGCAGCAAGACCAAAAAAGTGTCTTCTTAGCAGCAAGCCAAGTGCCTCAGTTGCAG